AACACTTAAAGAACATCGATCACCTCAACACTAGTTTTTAAAAATAATGATCCTTTCATCAAGTTTTGAAGGGAACTAGATTCTGTGATTGAGAAGAGAAAAACTCATCCCTACATTTAGTATATGGCAGGATGCTTTCAGCCATATGCACGCACCTTGGGTCAGACACTGTTTAACCCCTTAAGGACCAAACTTCTCGAATAAAAGGGAATCATGACATGTCACACATGTCATGTGTCCTTAAGGGGTTAAAAACCGACAGTCTCTATGGTCTTTCTTGCTTCACTCCCTGCACAGTGTAGTAATATCCTCAGACCGACTCACTGTCACATTCAAACACTATCGGTGTGTACGTATATGGCTGAAGGATCTGGTCATATACCAAAGGTAGGCATTTTAAAAAAAAAAATTTTTTTTTACATATACTTCATTTAACGCAGAATGCATTTCCTTTCAAAACTTGATGAAATGATCATTAAAAGATTGTGTTGAGGTGACGGTTCTCCTTTACCATGCATTAACATACACTGGGAGACAGGGCTGAAGAGAACTGTCCTGCTGATCATACAGGTCGCTTTAGACATAGGGCAGCAGGCACACCTGAAAGAGGTATATATCACGTCAGCATGTCCGTACTAGGCTGACAGTCCATGCACAGATATAATATGTTTAATTACACCCTTGAAATGCACTCTTTTGGAGAGTTTTATTATGTTTTTCTAGAAATGAGACAACAGAGAATAAAGCCAATGACAGCGAGCAGAGGTTCTAAATCATGACTGTCATGACACATCCATATCTGCTAATGTACCTTGCCCAGGTTTATGGAGGAAGATGGGCAGGGAAGAGAGCAGGATGCACTGAGCACTGTGCTAGGGACAGGACTGCCCCTAAAGAGGGTGACCATGCGGGCCATGCATGGAGCATTGCTGAAGCTCTCTCTATGTGGTCTTAGTGCAGAGTCCCCTCCTGCATTCTTAAATCTGCCCTCCAGATTCCCAGGGCCTATTTGTGCTGTGACAGTATCCCAAAATGGAGGACTGTCCTGGCAAATTCTGGACCGGTGGTACCTATGGAGATCTTCGAATACTGAATTATGATATATGCAAGAATACATTTGATCAAAATGCAGAAAAGTACAAAAGACACCCTCTCTAACAAACAACCCATAACATCCCCATCCTTCTTAATTGAAATGTATTTAAAAAAAAAAAGCTGTATAAAAAGTTGGCAAGTCATCCTGGCATGCATGTATACAAGGCTAGCTGGCAGCAATCCTGGCCAGCTAATCTCTAGACTATTCTCATGCAGAGCTCTTCTGAAGTGCTATAGCTTGAGCCTAGTGCATTGAGAACACTCTGCGTGGTATAAGCATGTAAATTAATACGCTAGCAGTGTATGGGACCATCCGACTGAAAGTGAAACAAAAGTAAAACGATTAGGAAACATGACTTGTGCTTTGAGTGTCCATTTAACTTCACAGTCTAATTGTGGGATTTGTGGTTTAGGATTGTGCCCCAGTAGTAGGCTTGCATTAAAGGTTGGGCACTGCAAGTGTAAATTGATTTTATCTGCACTAAAGAGAGTGTACTTTAACATTATATCAGTATTTGCAATAACCGTTAACAAAGCACAAGGACAGAGCTTTGAACGTGTTGCGTAGTATCTTGCAGAAGCAGCTTGTTCGCTCGCACATCTATACGTAGACTGTTACAATGCACAGATGATCATAATTTTAAAGTATTGAACTCCACAAAGAATCCACAAGGACATTTGCGTAAAGATTCAGGAATGTTTACCGAAAGCATGCTTTACATTGACATCTTTACAAATGTCACACGTAAAAAAATTGTTTTCTTCTGAAAACTTGTCTTCACCTGTCATTGTAATGGTTCGCAAATGTTTTTCTATCCATCCGCATTCTATAAATTGTGCATCATCACACTCTGTATTACAAAACCCTACTGCACAAAATCTTTAACGTGGCACAGTCCCTGTCCGGTGACTTTGCATGATTTGCAAAGACCCTTTATGGTGACTTCGCTGCTTGGGATTTGGCAGGGGGATGGGAAGGGGGGAGGGGGGTAAATGTACAGCGCTACAGAATCTGATGGCGCTATATAAATAATAATAATGTGACTTACCTAAATCTGTCACTTGGGTGCCGCCATCCTCTTCTGGCCGGTCCTTTTCTGCTGAGCTAATGTCACTGCTGTACTCTTGCGCATGCACAAACGTTCAACATTCAGGTTTATGGAGCAGACAGCAGGATCCTCCATAGGCAGTGCCAATTCCTTGCAGCCATCATGGGTGACGGCTGGGGATTGACACTTTTAGTCAGCGGTAGCTCCAAATAGTGTCTAGAAGTGCCAGGTGTAGGTCTCACTACATCTCTGGGCTGGGTTGAAACTTCAATGAAATTCCAGCACAGTCAATATGAGTATATCTTGAGATTTTTTGGTGCTCTATTGGATTGAGCTTGTATGGCCATTGGAGTAAATTTGTCAATGTCATGTTTATAGGACCAGCCTTGGATAATAAATGCTTCTTTTCATATTGAGCATGACATACTGGGGGAATTGTGGAATCACAATCTTTCAGAGGTGCTGTGTGTAAGGCATGCTATTTTTAAGGTTTTTTTGTTTTGTTTATGTATGTGAAAGAGATAAGTGCTCATGCCATAGTACAGAACACTGGTGAGATCTCACTTGGAGTATTGTATTGATACTTTGGAGAGAATTCAGAGAAGGGCTACTAAACTGGTTCACGGATTGCAGGATAAAACTTAAAGGATCTTAACATGTATAGCTTGCATGAAAGACGAGACGGGGGGATATGATAGAAACATTAAAATACATAAAGGGAATCAACACAGTAAAGGAGGAGACTATATTTAAAAGAAGAAAAACTATCACAACAAAAGGACGTAGTCTTAAATTAGAGGAGCAAAGGTTTAAAAATAATATCAGGAAGTATTACTTTACTGAGAGGGTAGTGGATGCATGGAATAGCCTTCCAGCTGAAGTGGTAGAGGTTTACACAGTGAGGGAGTTTAAGCATGCGTGGGATAGGCATACGGCTATCCTAACTATAAGATAATGTCAGGGACTAATGAAAGTATTTAGAAAATTGGGCAGACTAGGTGGGCCGAATGGTTCTTATCTGCCGTCACATTCTGTGTGTCTGTGTTTCTACACATAAGAGTAAATTCTATTTGAAAATTGGTAGATTCTGTCCGCAAAGAGATGCGAATTATGCTTAGCTGCTATTAAGTGGCTCAGTGTTTGCCAATAAAACATTCTAACAGTCCTCTGCCACCAGCCACTACTGGTGATACAAGTATAGATCCCTGATTTTTGGGTGTTTTTACCAATTTCTGATATACCATCTGCATGTGACAGCAGGTGACAATATGTCCACGGTAGACTCCTCTTGCTATTCAGCAGTGAACTACACATGCTCTTCTGTTGCCATAAGCCTTTCATCTGGTTCATGGTTTGAAGTATTGTGTGTTCAAAAAAACACATTCACTGAGTTTGTCTATTTTTCTCTCTTTCGTTACATTTGTTTGATCCACAGAACAAAAACACAGGAACCCTGCCTTTCATTCAATAGAGGTTTTGCACATTGGTGCTAGGAATGGCAACATTTGTCTGCTTGACCTCTGTCACGCTATAGCAATATATTGCACAGTAATTTTAGGACGTTGTTAAATACAACACAATATCAGGGTGGCAGAAAACCCACAGGGAGAATTCATCCAATACTCGCCCGTGCTCTCTGCCTCCCTCCTGTTCCAAACTGCTGTAACCGAAATGTCATATGTTGACAGAAGCCTGATAGAGTAATGTTGGCAACTTAAATGTTAACAGAACTCCTTGTCCACATCCTACTGAGAGGAATATGATGGAGCTACCTGCCCTATTAGCAACATTTGTTCAGTGATATCCAAATTGCAGAGCTTGACTGTGTTTGACAGGTGCCCCTCTTGATTCTGAAGGAAAAAAAGCTTTGAAATGTGTAGACATGCTATATTGAATGTTACATTGCTTTCAAGAAAGATTCAAGTTCCAAGATCACAGTATGCAGTCAATATACAATTTATCATAATGGTATTTATTTACTTAAAGGTACACGTCGCCAGACCTCCCTGCATGTGAATTGCACAGCCTTTCTAAACACTTCCTGCAAACAGACATCTAATGTTTAAACTTTCTGTATTGCACATTATGTTTATTTTAGAATTTCTCATCTCCTGCTCTGTTGATAGCCTTTGGGACCCTGCATGAGCCTCCTGTGTGTAGTTAAAGTTTAATTTGCAGAGCAGGAGATAAAAAGTTAACATAGAGGGCTGATTAATTGCAGTGATGTATTGTAGAGAGCAGAAATACTGAATAATTACCTGGGCACATTATTTTGAACACTTATATTGATCATAGGAAATTGGTTTATGGAAAGAAAATGAGCGTTAGATAAAGGGCATGCTTTATGCTTATATCAAAGACCATTTACGCTGCAAACGTATGAAAGAAGATATTATGTGCAGCATTTCTATGGAAACACTAAAGTGCTATGTATGAAAAACCTCTAAACTTGGAGCAAGCACCATGAAAACCAAAAGTGTTTCTGTGGACTTTTACAATTTTACAAGGTTACACCTTCATCCAGTAGATATAAAACATGTATACAGCCTTATTATTCATGTGAATGCATGGGGGATTAAGTGCATTGACTTCTCTGTACATGTCTCGCCATTTTAAGCCCTAGATACTCTGCTGTAGATCTTCTCCTATCTGCTAAATACACATTTACTTACCCCTCACAATGCATGTGCGGACTGCCTGGCTAAAGGGACATTATAAGCACCCAGACCACGTCATTTATTGAAGGGGTTTTGGTGCAGTGCCTCCTGTCAGTTTTACCCTGCGGTTGTAATTATTGCAATTATTGGATGATCTCATGCGCAAGCACCTCTAGTGGCTGTCTGGTAGACCGACATTAGAGGTGGAGTTAAACCTGCAAGGTTATTATTGCATTCTCTCAATAACTGCAATAATTACCTTGCAGATTTAACTCTACCTCTAATGGCTTGCGCATGCAGACATCTAGCGTCAGCTAAACCCAATTAGATGCTTTCCTATGAGGTAATCATAATGCGAGCGTGGTGCTCTCTGCACATGCGCATTAGGTCCCCCGACATGTCGGGGGAGGAGGAGCAGAGGCGGAGGATTCATGTAAGTGACAGAAGGGTTTTTAACCTTTTCTGCGCTGCGGGGGACACTATAGGGTACTATAGTGCTAGGAATACCACTTTGTTTTCTTAGCACTATAGTTTCCCTTTAAACTGTGTGAAGGGTCCCCAGGCTTTTTATCAAATCAGGGTGAAAATCAGGGTGACCTGCAAATGGTTCTCTCTTGGGGAGTGGACTCCTTATGCTTGTTACTGTATTTACACAAGTTATCAGATTGCAAATATATATATTTACACACCAATATTTACATTCTCTCTCTCTCTCTCTCTCCTTTCTCTCTCTCTCTCTCTCTCTCCTTTCTCTCTCTCTCTCTCCTTTCTTTCTCTCTCTCTCTCTCTCCTTTCTCTCTCTCTCCTTTCTCTCTCTCTCCTCTCTCTCTCTCTCTCTCTCTCTCTCTCTCTCTCTCCTTTCTCTCTCTCTCTCTCCTTTCTTTCTCTCTCTCTCTCTCTCTCTCTCTCTCTCTCTCTCTCTCTCCTTTCTCTCTCTCTCCTTTCTCTCTCTCTCCTTTCTCTCTCTCTCCTTTCTCTCTCTCTCCTTTCTCTCTCTCTCTCTCTCTCTCTCTCTCTCTCTCCTTTCTCTCTCTCTCTCCTCTCTCTCTCTCTCTCTCTATATATATATAGGGGTCGAAACGTTGATCAGAATTTAAAACACAGTATTTGAATAAAGCACTTTGAAAAAGATCTGCGAGTGCACCCTTACCTCTCTGATATATATATATATATATATACACACACACATTTACACACAATATACAGTACGTGCATTGTCTGTTTTTTTTTAGTGTAATATGTATTTTCGAAGGAGCGTGGATAATGAATTTTAGGAGTTAGCTGAGACCGTTTCAGGCGAAATTAATGTCATCTACTCACCACATGCCATAATAAGACTAAAAAGCTTCAGGTTTATAGATATTAGCTTCCCTTTTTTTTTGTCCATAATAATGCTTTAGGCAAATTCCCCAGTGTGAAACCTTTTCCTTTTCTAGAAAGCAGTTAGCAGGCTTGAATCGCTTATTGAGATGTAGGAAAATTGTCCTGTCACTTGCATTTGCTAGCATTGTTTCATATTTTCTCATCTCTGATCCATATGCGCCACGGATAACAACCAATTAAAAAGACTGAGTGCATCTTTGAGTGTATTTAACGAGTCTTTAGGGTTACGCAGGAGACCTCTATTCATATTGGTCGGTTTGTATTCCCTGTGCTTAACGTGATGAGGTCACATTGACGTGATGAGCTGGGGTGGATTAATTACTGTGCATCACACTTTGCAGGCTGTGCATCGTCATTACCTGTTTCAGTTGAAATAAATTTGCAGCAGCTGTTAACTCCTTTCAAAAGCTCAAGTGGAATGAAAAATATAAAATCTTGCGTTCGTATTCTATTAAAAAAAGGAACTTGTCTGGAAACTGCACCATTGGAAATCACGTATAAAAAGGGTGTGAAAAGGACTCATTTAATCTTAATGTAGTAGTTTTGGTGCTTACGTGCTGCCCTTTTTGTCTTGCCATGTTCTGAGAAACCGCAGTGGTTACATTTCTCCTACAAAGCATCTATAGTGGCCGTCAGACAGGAAGCCACTGGAGGTACTTCTAAAGTCATTAGATTTCTGAAGGTCTTCATGTTCAACATCATGATGCTCATTGTGATGAGTTGGAGCTCTGCTAATGTTGCTCATAGCGAAGGATGGGGTTGTGACGATCATTTTCTTTTAAATTTATATGAAAGATTTAGCAAATGACATCACAATCCAGTTTATCCCAGGCACAGCCAGCTCACACATTGCAGATGAGGAGGAGAATTAGAAGCATTATTTTATTTCTCGCCTTCTAAGAATGTTTTCTACTAATGAAAGTATTTAGAAAATTGGGCAGACTAGATAGGCCGAATGGTTCTTATCTGCCGTCACATTCTATGTTTCTGTGTACGGATTTCCAGGTGCAAAGGACCGCTCTTATAACATGGGTTGGGAAGCCATTATGGAGGCACGCAGTTGCAGGACAAAAAGTGTGGATTTTTATTTTTTGCACCTCACAAATACATACACGTTAAATATAGGAATAAGTAGATACAATATTAAAAAATTATGGGAAGCAACAGTTGCCCTTTAGTCTTCCTTGATGTTTCTGATCCCAGCCATATTAAAAATACATCATAATACAAAGGGTTGCTTTATCAGATTTACATTTCAAAATGTCCTGTAAAATGTCAACTTTTAAAGACAGTCGTCATTTTAACAACTCTGTAATGGAAATGTATTGAAAAGGTTAAGGGGTACTTGCTGTTGACCAAGGATTTGGAGATGCTTCCAGTAGACTGTAACTCATTATTTTTACATTACTCCGGATCAGGGGGGTTACAGTCGATTGTTTTTTTAAACAGTACCCCTTAGAACCACCTCCCCCCCAACTCAATTTGCTTAAGTCATTGCTGCTGTAATGAAGCTGCACTCACTATTGCATTGTAATTTTAGATGTAAGTCTGACCTTTGTAAACACAATGTTTTAAATGCATGTTATGTTTTGTATTTGCGTGTGTGTGGTCATCCAGTCTACTGTTGATATACAGATGTTGTTACGTTATATCTTATAGTTAAAAATAAACTGGAAATTCTTTCTTTGTGCTCTCGTAAAAAAAACAAAAACAAAAAAAAACTACTATTTTGTTTTTGTTTTTATTTGTTGCAAATATATTTATCAATGCTGACTCTTCTAGAGTCTGCCTCCAGACCCTAGACAAGAAGTCAACCCATTCAAGAACACTTTGTAGTTGCTATGGTGCTTGAAGTAGCCAAAGTGGGAAGTGATTTTAGTGCCTGCAGCCCTTGTAAATGTATATGTTTTGATTAATCACAAAAACTTTAGGTAGTGAAAGAAAATTCAGCTGAAGCATCATACATGACCTAATTTAAGTCCTTTAAATTTGTTAAATATAATCAGTTTTGTTATGCCAGATAATAACATTTATAATATTATAGTACTGAAATATGTAATACTTTTTACCTTTTGTGCTTTGCAAGTCTCATTAGCGGGAAGAAGGAAGGTAATGTTGCCTTTCCTCAAAAGCTTTCCCAAACAGAGAATCTCAGAGTGGATTGTTACTTCGTGATCTAAATACTAATTAAAACAAGTTCAGCCTAATTACTTTTAAAGCAGATCAGATAACTACACATATTGTAAACGTTTTCCCCTTACTTTAATTTCTATGCGCGTGGCCATCAGATATCAAGCAACCAGTAACGTTTAAAATGATGGCAGTAAATTTTGCAATTTATGGCTGTTTCCAATTTCCATGATACACAATGTCACTGTTAGGGTAATCTCATAGAGGTGAAACGTGCCACCTGGTTTCTTGGCTAGATGATAAAAATGACCACCACGTTTCATGCAGTCACTCACTCAAGTATTGTGTAAACTTGAAGAGACACTATAAAAAAAATAATAGTGACTGCAAACTCTCAATACGTTCTATAGAAAATAAGACATTTATTCTGAGTTCCAGCACCTTCAAGGGAATTATTAGTGTGTGCTGGTAGAGTTTCCATGGTGACATCAAGTTTATAGTGTCCAGGTAAAGTTGCCGTGCCAACACTAACACCTGTTCTTGTTGCTATAACAACTCTATGTGGACAGTCTAAAAGGTTCTCTCGAATGTTCTAAAGCATGGAGTAAATGTCTTCAGTTTTAATGTAGGATTTATTGAAAGTTTGCTGTCTTTAAATTGTTTTTTTTCCATTCTGCATCTTGCTAAAGTAGGTGTACAGATCAGAGTAAGCTTTATAGACATTTATATTGTCCCCGTAATAGTAAACTCTAAGCGCCTGTATCAGTGAAAGCAGACATTTTTCTTCTTTAAAATTCTTTTGTTATTTTGGATAATTCGTTTATTCACTGCATCATTTGTTTTTGCGTGGTAAGGAATTACTTTGCCAATGTATAGCGGTGTAAAGATATTTGCTTTATATGGCGGATTTTACTGGATGAAGGTTTTTTTTTTTTCTTTTTTATTATTTTTGCTTTCCTCTTCATGTGTATATTTGGTGCACAATGTATGTAAAGCACTTTATATACATTGAAGGACATGGCTGCTTAATAGATCTTCATATTTCTTCTATGTTACTTTAGATGTTTGTATGTATAATTATAATTATATATACAGGGCTGGTGCATTTTATTTATTATTTTGCATTTTCTGTTGGTTTTCGTGGACATGTATGTATCACTTATTGAGTTTCAATAATGCATATATCTCTTGGGGAACACAGGGACTAATGGACACCACTTGAGTGAATGGTGGCATTAGCATAATCTTGCTGATCAATTAGTTGTCAGTTTACCTTATTAAACAGCGTATGAAACCGGAACGCCTTTGTCTTGACAGATAATTTTTTACAATCCAACAGTATCTGATCGTTGCCCTTATTGCTGGATTTTGTTAGCGGAGCACTGTTTGTGCTTATTTGGTGGAGCATAATTCATAGAAATACATCTTTACTGATGGATATGATTTGCTACTCATTGTCTAGAAGGTCCATTGTTTGTGCGAAATTAGCAAGTTTTAAAAGCAGGGGTGGGCTATGGAAACCTGTTGGTATTTTGTAGTTACAATAATTCTGTGACAAGCATGAGAACAAGCCCCATTTTTTTTTTTTATATCTTTGTAAAACTACAAAGAATTTCAAAATAATTTAACTCATGAAAGATTGTACAGCTTTTCATGACAATTGCTTATTTTAAAAGACTTAATTTTATAAAAGAAACAGAAATAAATTAATGCTGTGCTCTTTCTGTACATTTATAGCTTGAATTTTGCACAACATTGCTTTACGAAACGCTAATAT